AGTAAATTGTCCAACAACGTACAGTTAAAACAGTTTAGAAGCATTGATTTTTCACAGTGTGTGCCACTTTAGTTCCCATAGCTGCAAAACTGTGGCACACACATTTTTATGGTGGAAGATCAACTGATGAACTCAAAATATTTAGACACACAAGACATGGTCACTACTTATGCAGTGGTTAAAGATTCTGAATACTTTGTCAGTTTAAAATGTTGTTTTTACCACTTTTTGTCAATCAGTCCATCAAAAATAAATTCATTCTGCACTTTTCTAACAAATCAAATGCAGTTCAAAGTGCTTTGACAATCCTCTGACTAACACAGGATGCTACAACTACATAGAAACTAATGCACACCGAAAGAACAAAAAAAGAGATTAGTAGTTAAGACAATGCATGATAAATTAAAGATAGTACAAGCAATCTAACTAAAATTGTGACATAAAATGCAAAATGTAGATTACAATGAACATGAATGGTCATATAAAATATAATAAAACAAACAATTAAGATGATAAAGTAAGTCTAAACACTAAACTAGGAAACTATAAAGCAGTACATGAAAGACAAACTGAATAAATCTATATTTTTTAAGGCCTTCTCAGTTCCTCTAGCTCGTGTTCCAGCAACTCTAAAGGCCGAAAGCAGCGTCACCAAATGTTTTTGTGGAACAGCTTAAAGAGGGAAACTAGAGGTAGTCTAGTGTGACGTCACATAAAGCCTCATAAACTCATAAAAGAACTTTGAAATCAAATCTAGCAGGTAACCAGAATAAAGAGCTCGAAAAACCAATAACACACGCTTTCCTTTTGGTCTTGGTAAACACTGGAAATGTTGAACTGACTGATGTACCGTCTTCTCCAGTAGACCATAAAGAAATGTAGTAAAGTAGTCAAGCCTGATATAAAAGTTATAAAGTTATAAAAGTGTGCATCAATCTTTCTGTGTTCAATAATAATAAAATGCGGATTTAAGTTAGATCCCAAACAAGAGCTTTGAAATTAAGGTGAAGATTGAAAAATCACTCATGATTTCTTGCTTCTCGGGTTGACTGTCAGTGTTGTTAGTTTTGGGGTCAGTTTTTCTCTCTGGGCTTCTGAACCAGTGATCAATATTTTAATTTTATCCTCATTGAGCTGTTAAAAAAACACATTTGATCTTTGATGCTACAACTTGGAAGGTTGAATTTTGTCCTGCTTGTGTAAAGCGGAGAGAATTTTTTGGTTAACGTGTTTTTTTTAGTTTTGACATAAGAAACCTGTTAGGATAGCGTAGCACACGACACTATTGTAGTAATCGATTTTATCATTTATAAAACAAAAATCTGTAGTTTCAGCTGCAACTTTTAAATGTGTGAAGCACTTTTCTGTTTTAGTTTGACTGACACGTTCTTGTTCTTGCTCATGGCTTAAGTTTTTGGTGCAAGCGCTCATAAATGATTCCATAAGAGCTGCAAGTAACTCAGAACTGCAGATTGTTAACCAGCATTCGCAGGTCAAAGGTCAGATGAGATGAGATCAGAACACCAGATGTGTCCCAATGTAGTTTGACTTTTCAGTACAGTTTTCCTCTAATGAGCAACACATGACGCCATAGGAAGGCTGGTGCAGTTTAAACCTGCTGTGTGTAGTTTGCATTTCCTCCCTGTCTCTGTGTGGGTCTCATTCTGGTGCTCCAGCTTACTCTCACCACCAAAAGACATGCATGGTGGTTAACTGGTTTCTACACTAACCATAGATGTGAGTGTGATTGGTTATCTGTCTCTGTGTGTTAGCCCTGTGATGGACTGTTCCAGGATGGACTGAGACACAGGATAAATATCACCAATAGATTGATAAAACTATGTTTAATAAGGTCCAACTATTCTCTTCTGAACTCTCATAGTTTAGTCTGTCTACTGTAAAAGTAAGTACTTGTCTCAGTGCAGCCTGTGTCGTCGGTTTACACAATCACAGGCATTAAAGCGTTAATTGGTGGCATTAAGTGTGGTTTCTAATAACACCTTAGTTTGTAGAATAGAATCTCATTGTAGTCTATTTTGGATCTGATGTGGCATCGTATTGGATTGCTAACTAGACTATAATCTAATAAAATGGTGTCTAACCTGTTTGGTTTCTAATTATTATTATTATTATTATTATTATTATTATTATTATTATTATTATTATTAATAATAATAATAATAATAATAATAATAATAAATAACTTTAATAATATAAATAGCTTTATTTGTATAGCACCTTTAAGAACAACAATTCACAAAGTGCTTTGACAGGTAGAACATAAAATACAGGTAAAATATCAGGAAGGACAGGGCAAACACATGTAAAAACAAAATAATAACTAGAAAGTGCATGAAACCACATGTAATTAAACACTGTAATAAATGAAAATGTACAGAATAAATAGCTAGTTTCAAAACTGGTTAAAAGGACGACATCACACAAGGGAGTTAAGAGAGAAGCGAATTAAAGTATATTAATGCCTAAAAATACAATATTTTGGATCTAGTATGGTTTTTCATTACATGATCATTTAGGGTATCTAATCACAATATAAGGGCTGCAGGGTGGCTCAGTGGGTAGCATTGTTGCCTCGCAGCTAGAAGGTTGCTGGTTCGCGTCCTGCTGAGGACACCCAGGATCTTTCTGCGTGGAGTTTACATGTTCTGCCCATGCAGCGTGGGTTCTGTCCGGGTTCTCCGGCTTCCTCCCACACAGTTCAAAACATCTTAACTGGTGATTCTAAATTGTCCGTAGGTGTGAATGTGAGTGTGCTTGGTTGTCTGTCTCTAAGTGTAGCCCTGTGATAGACTGGTGACCTGCCCAGGGTGTCCCCTGCCTTCACCCTGAGTCGGCTGGGATAGACCCCCCTGCGACCCTAGTGAGGATTAAGCGGTGTGTAGCTAATGGATGGATGGATAATTACAATATATCAGTGTTCGTTTGCTGTCTGATAAAGTGCATATTATTTCTATTTTTGGTCGAATTTGACTCAAAGCAGGGCCTGTTATGTCTTATTAATGTACCGTAAAATATAATATGTGTTAAGAAACTTCCAGATTTTTGTGTAATATAAAAATCTGATTTTTATTATCATGCATGACCTGAACTTCACCTGTAGTTGCTGCAGTTTTCCCACCAGCAGGTGTCTCTGTTTCCAGCATAGCTGCTGCTCCACACCACTGATAAAAGAATGTTTACAGTTTACACCTACCCACAATCCTCTGCGCTGTGTGTGTTGATATCAGAGGGCTCATTTTACACATGGCGTGCACTATCAAAAAAAAAAACACACAACAACAGCAACTGCTGCTTTAGAAGCATTCTGCTGATCCTAACACTTGAGTGAATGGAAAGGATTCATAGATTTTTTTACTTGAATATAATGAAGCAGATGGAAGTATTTCAAGTATGATACACTCAGTTGTTCATTCACTGCAGCACTGCTAATGCCTGCAGCTTCCTCTTTAATCAAATGGCCCTATTTTCTTTAACGATTCATTATTATATGCTCATTAATTTCAGTAATTTATAGTTATTGGGTGATTAAGTCGTTAATATCGCCATCTGGATGGAGATGGGGGTGCTTCAAAACACTGCTTTATTAGTGCCTGAAGGAACACCCATATCTAACCTGTTGGAGTGTCCTTGGGCAAGAGGAAACCAGACATTCACTCTGTCGTTACAACAAAGGAGAGAAAAAAAAAGTGGGGGTATGCGAAAAAAGAATGTAGTACCGCCGCAGTCCGCACCGATAAGCTGCGGCACCGATAGTTTAGCGAGAAACTCGCCGGAGCAGACACGACGCGCTGCTCACCCACGGCTGTCGGCTTGTCCCTAATTTAACTCCGAGCGATGTAATTGGCGATGGTGGATTTGTTTACCATATTTGGCAAGATAGTGACACAGCGCGCCTGGGAATTGGACGAGAGCGGCCGTCATTCACAAAAAAAGTCAGCCTCCCGGAGCTTTACAAACAAAGCGATGGCTCATGGGAGTTGTAGTCCAAAACAAACCCTTGCTGAGATTCCTCCGGCGGGGAATTCGCTCCCTCTGTGTTGATTTCCCAACCGCAATCGTGCTGTACGTTAAAATAAACTTGCAGTCGATCATAGTTTTTGGTTTGTATGTGTTGAAGCGGCACAATAAACCCGCAGCAGGGGCGGCTAAACACACGCCGCTCCGACACCCTCCGCTTGCGGCATACAAGTCCCACCGGCGACGCTCTCCTCTGATTGGTCGCCTCCACCTGTCAATCACGCGCGCGCTCCTTCCACTACCGCTCCTACAGTAAATATTTGTGTTTGCTCAACCGGCTGTAATGGTGGACGACTGAAGGCGAGACAAACGGAATACAACTAGAGTGAAGAAAGAGAGGAAAGAAGAAACGGTCGAAAGTTGCGCTCCAGAGCCAGCCGCCGCGAGTAGGACACCGGGCTTCTTCGTCGAAAATGGATGAACTCAAACATCAAGTCATGATTAACCAGTTCGTCCTGACGGCGGGTTGTGCGGCAGACCAGGCGAAGCAGCTTTTGCAAGCGGCACATTGGCAGTTCGAGGTAAAGCGAGAACGATGGGGCTTCCAACGGCTGAGCGGCGGCGTTAGCACCGCGGCTAATGTTTACGTCTCGTGTAGCTTCGACACTTTTAAAGACATTTCAAACAAAGCCTTGGCGTTTGGCTATGCGACCTTTTTTTTGGGCGAGTTTCAAATGGGAACTTTTGCCGTATTTGAAGTAGATGTAGCTAAGCTTTAGCTAAAGTAATGCAGCAGGAGGGCGAAGCGTATAGCTAGCATATCCAATTAGACTTCACTCTAGATTAAATACTATAATCCGACGCATGACAGCAGTGTACAGCCGGAGTGCTGTTACGCAATAAAGATGACCGCCGTGTTGTATCGACTAGCCTACAAAAGAGTAGTTTGATATATTATTGTTTAGTCTGCGGTGAGCCCACTATAGATTATTATTTCACCTCGCTGCGGGCTCGTTGTATTGTTTAATCCAGCATGCACCAATGCTACTCTCGTCCCTTTTTATCAACATGTAATGCCCCTCTTGTCTGATCCATAAAATAATGGCCTTTTATCTCCTGTGTTTCATTTTAGACTGCCCTCAGTGCCTTTTTTCAAGAAACAAATATTCCATATGGCCATCATCATCAAATGGTGAGTGCGAGGAGAAGGAGGAGGGGTGGTGATAATAACACACTTTATACACTCTTCTTGTTTGTTTCATTACCTAATTGTAAAAGCTTGTATTTCTTTAAGACTGCCTGTGTTGTTTTGGGTGGGATGGGGTGGCCCTTGAGCAGCCCTTATAGGCCGAGAGAGATGATGTTGTACTAACAATAACAAAGCACATGTCGGCCATGTTGTGAGCTTCCAGAAATAAACACACAGGCAGGCATGCAGCAGCAGCCACACTGAGAGAGAGAGAGAGAGGGGGGAGATAGAGAGGCTGTGTGTGTACATATAGGAGAATGGGAGCAAGGATGATAGATGGAGATGTATGGATTTCCTCATTTTTCATTGTATCAAGTGAGGTGCATGAGGGAAGGAAGGGCCCCCTCAGTTTCTGGGTAAGAGAGGTAAAAAAAACAGTCCCTTTCCAGGAAGAAGACAGCTGCCTCTCTCAAACTGACCCTCGTGCTGCTGCGTTTGCCTCGGGTAATTCGGCTATTTCCCCAGATTGGATTGTTGCAGCCCCCGACACAACACACACTGGGGACTTATAGGGGGAGACAAATCAGACCAGAGTAAACTGGAAGGCGTTAGTGCTGTAGGAGACTCTGCACACACACACATACACACACACATGCAGTTGAACATTATGAAACACTAGCAGTATTTGGGCTTTTAGCAGCAGCTCTCTTTGGCAGCACACAAGCCTTTGTTTGCAGCTGCATGCATGGCAGCATCCAGCAACAGCTGCCCGCTGGAAGAGCCCGACAGAGATGCGAGGGGATTTTGGACAAAATTGTCGATCGTTTATTTTAGCTCTCTCAGAGCTCACTCTCTGTTTATGTGTGTGTTTGGCTCACTGTTTGTGCGGTAAAGGCAGTCATTAAACTGCTAAACATTTTTACCCTTGTATTTCTCGAGGACAGGGAGAAAGATTGGGATAAAAGAGGATTTGATTTTTATTGCATTGTGTGTGAGTGTGTGTACATTTATATCCTCGGAGTCGTGCCATATCGCCAGTCAGCACAGAAACTGCTCACACAGAGCTGAATCATTTTTATCTCTGTTTTTGTAAGAAAGGAAGGTAGACCTTCTTTATCACTTGATAAGTAAATAAGAGCTTCTCAGCCCTCCATTTAACTCATGAAATTTCTCACTTTAATTTAGAGAGGAAGCAATTTGCCAAGAGCTGTCCTGTTCTGTCTGCCAAACAGGGCTCAGCTTGCTGCCGGCACTAGAAAATGAAAGTCAGAATGCAGAGCAGCTACGTGTGTTTGTGGTGTTATTGTCATAGATGTGTTGTTGCATAATCACAAGTTCATGTGTTCCGTTTTTTTTTTTTTTTTGTTCTTTTTGCACATGCCCGCATGTGCATAAGAAATGCTTGCGTACTTTAATGCGTGTATTTTGTGCATGCAAAATGTGGGTGTTTTGTGTGAGTCACAACAGTACTACAGTAGGGCAGCGTGTCCAACCTTCCTGCAGCTTATCAGGCCACAGCGTTCATTGGTATACAAATCTAATCCACTTTGCTCTCACTCTCACTCTTAACTCCCTCTCTCTCTCTCTCTCTCTCTCTCTCTCTCTCTCTCATGCTGTCTCTCTTCAGTTTAAACACGAGCAGCATTAAGCTATATTTCTGTTGCAAACGCTGTTGTTGCATCAATGTTTTGTGTTACATCATTAACTGAACTCATCCTTGAGATTGGTGTTTTGGCTCTAAGCCTTACCCCAAACCCACAGCCCCAGCACATAGCCTGTAGACATGCCATTCTTGGCAGCATGGCATGTTAGGATGTCATGTAGGTCAGTCAGTTTATGGATACTGCTCAGCGAGCTGGTGTATGCTTTTGTTTTTGAGGGCCAAAGACAATGTATGAGTCCGAATGCGGTTTTGCAAATCACTTTCCTATCTGAATTTGGCATCCTGGAATAGAAATCATCTTGGGTTCAAAAGCACTGTTGTTTAAGAAATACATTTTTATATGTAAACAAAGATTGTTTAGTGATAATTGTAGCTGTCAGTAGGTTAGCTATTTGTAAGCTATCTCAAGTCTGATTTTGTTTATCTCTGCTTTGCTAATGAATCATTTGTGCTCTGCATGTCACAGGTTTATAACCTGTATCAGATATCAAATACAGAGGTTGGTCTGTTCACGCACCACTACAGTATTGTGTAATGCTGGAGGATTTAGTGAAAGCTCTTGTCATTATAATTTCCTTCTACAAACAGTTCCAGACTCAAGGGAGTGCCTGTGCTTTGGCACATGATGTAGAAGAGCTACACTTTCTGCCCAGACACGCAATTAAGACTGTTGTTTGTTTGTGCATACATTATATAGGCTGTGTGTGTTTCAGTGAGCCATACAGCCACATATACATGTTGTCTTGAGCAGATCGTTCATTTATCTCTGGTTTGGAATTATGTCATCGAAGCTTACATCTATGTTCCATGATGGACACCCAAGCCACAATCATAGTCCAACCTGCCTGGTGTTTTGTGTAACCCTTCCCCGTCTACTCCTAGTTTTTTCCTTCACACACACTTACACACACACACACACCCTGCCCATACAAACACTGCAGCCGCAATGCATTCCTACAGGATGCACTGCTCACACCGACCCAAAATGGACCCTTTCACAGCAAAACGGGGCCAGTGTAACTACAAACACTGCGCCCTGCCTCTCTCTACAGTTTATACACTCTCACTCCTCATACCTCCCGCCCTCGCTGTTCTCTCTGTTTACAGACGCAAAGCATCAGGCACTAGAATTCAATTTGCCATTCATGTTTCCTGTTAGAGAATTGTATAACCGTGTCATCCTCTTGTTTTAGCATCGTTCTCAAAGCAGTTAGCGGTCCCAGACTGATGTATCGGCATGTTCGCCCACTTAGAATGCATGTTTTCTGGGTTGTGTGTCTGTTGCTTCTGGCTGTTTGATGCTAATTCCTCTTATCAAATGTTACGCACATTTTCTTGCACTGCTGTGGTATTATCCAGAGATATCCTCGGCTTATTTTCATTTTTAAATCAATTGCAGATAAAAAAAAAAAATCAGAAATATTTTAAATACTTTGTTAATTATATCCTATTACACTTTTGACATACCCGCTGTCAAAATGCTGCCCCACTTGCATATTATCACCTCTCTGCAAAATAGTAATTGTCAGTAAATTATTGGTTACATGTAAGGACGGTTTGAAATTGTTTCTTGAGAAAGATTTCCTATATAATTGATGTCTTTCAGTACACATGGGCAACTTTGAGAAGTATTTTCTCCGTCGTCACTTTCTTTGAATAGTCTGGCAGACGGTGTATTTATGTGTCTGTACGAATGTAGAAGCTAAAACACTGATTCGTGACTGCATGTTCACACCAGCGTCAGTGTTTCCACGATTAATATTTCTCCATGTGGGCCACATACAGCCACAATAAAGTGAATGAACGCTCATGTGACCACAGATGAGGAAGTAGCCCCAGCTGGATGACTTCCATTGCCGTCTGGGAACATGTGATCCCATCATGTGACTGAGCAAACTAAGCCACAAAGCCTGCTTTACATGTGTATAATTTCTGTCAGAGTTATGGCTGTTAAAGGAAATCCAGTGAGGCCCTCATGTGGCAGCTGTTAAGTCGGGGCTGTGGTGTTGAAAAGTATTTTGTCTTTAGTAGGTCAGGGTAATAAAAATATTCTCCTCAAGAAATATTTCACGTTCTCTTTTCCCATTTTGAATCACAGCCACACTCAGTTAAGTTATGGCTATCTCTTCTTCTCACTCTGATGTGCTTTTTGTGTGGAAGTGAAAACAAAGAAACACTCCCTCTCTTGCGCAGTACTGGGACCAGGTTCTGTGGATCTGTCAGTTTCAGTTTCCGATTGTTTAAACGAGCATATTAGCCGAATATAAGCAGTAATCGTCAACCATAATCATCCAGAGTAAATTAGCCGCTTCCTTCTGCTCCTAAAAACAACTCATGTCAGGCCTGTATTCTGCAACTCAACGTTCAAAACAAGCAGCTACATGGCTCACCTTTTTTATTGTGCTATAATTGCAGTTTGTGACAAGCATCACGCATAGGGCGAATGAAACTGTGATTTTATGAAGGGCAACGTTCAGCTCCAACTGTCTGGGTACGGTGACGTAGAAGAATAGTATAGCGCATTGCTGGGCAGTGATAAAAGTGGGCGTGTGGTTGTTTAAAGGCTGTTTCCTGGCAATATGAACACCCAGCAGGAGAAAAAAAGGAGGGTTTAGTGTGTGTCTGTGTGTTTGAGGGGGTGTTTTTGGTAACTACAAACACTTGGTTTTGGTGTCCGGGTGTGGCTTCAAAAAGGATTTTTTAGAAATCCTAACTTTTCTCATCCATGTAAGAGCTCATCTCTTGAGAAGTGTGCGGTGTGCTCATGCAGAAGAGCAGAGATATAATTACCTTCATAAATCATGCCGTGACAGCATGGACGACTGTCTGCTCCTGTTCCTCTCTTGTGTCTCAACCTTTATCCGTTCATCATCACAATGCAAGAGATCGAGGAAGGCTAACTTAGATAATAAAGGCTACTTGGGTTGTTTCTGAAATGCCAGCAAGGAATCAATGAATATAAGTGAGGGAGGGTGTTTGGCTAGTACTTAGGGTGAAATCGGCTAATAGCAGGGCAATGCCAGGTATTTGGGAAAAAGATACAATAACTGAGTTAACACAGAGCTGCTTTGTGTGTCTTCCACAATTGAAACAAGGTGTCCTCTGTCCTGCTGCTGACGTTACTTACAGAAGTTGATTAAGTGCAGAATTGGATGTAATGTGGTTTATTTTCTCCCACTGTTTGTGATTTCATGTGAGTGTGCACTATAGTCCCATGGGTGTCAATGTAGCATGGTGTTTCATTTTATACAAAATCATGTCTAGATCTGCTGATGTTAATGGGTGTGCATACATCTGTGCCTGAATATGTGTGTGTGTGAGTGTGTGTCTGTACCAGTGT